ATTGTTGATTGCCGTGACGTAAACATCAGGTTGATTTAATGTACCTGTTAACATTTGGCAATGAATTGTAAAAAAACAGAAATGCTTCTTTATTAATACGACTCTACATACAAGGATATTATTTCTTCCCTTTGGGCAATTGAGATAGTTTTATTTGCTCATTTTGCTTAACTTGACCATTGCGAGATGCTAAGATTCATTTCGAGGCAGAATCACGAGTATGGTTTTTATTGAAGAGTTTTGTACAAAGTGAGATTAAACCCTTCCTATCTTCTCACATCGTTCTTAAAAAATTGTTCTTGTGAATTGTGTGACTATCTTCCATTTTTCCCTTTTTTTATTTTTTGTTTTGTCCTTTATCTTCATTCTGTTAATTTTTACTTCGTCGTGTTTTTCTTCGAAACAAAACTATTCCTCGTTGCTTTGTTTTTGTTTTTGTTTTTGGTTGTTGTACCTTAAACATCTTTTGGGCTTTGTCTCTTTCTGCTGTCTTGATGTCATGATTTGAAAACCAGATGTGATCCTAATCGGCATATTGAGTCATACTACATCTTCGATTTGAGTATTTCAATGTTCTGTGACATATCCTGTCCCCGCCTCCTTAAGTTCAGGACCATACCTCACGTCCCCCGTAATATCTGCACAACCTATCAATTTGTTTCCACCAAATATTCAAGGAATAAAACTGATATGCGAGTGAAACTGCATCATGAAATTGCGGTTTTAAGGTACAATACTCTTAAAAAAATTTGAGGAAAAAACTTGAAGGGACTGGGGATATACGCCTCATTCTCACCTCCGCCTCCTCACTCTCGTTACACATTCAATGGGCTACAAATAACTAATGAATTGATTCCAGTTCTTAAGAAGAGGGTAATTAGAAGTAATTGCGTGTACTGCCGTTCGCTATCTCACTCTAAACTTCACGGTAGTTTCCTATTGAAATATAATTTAGCTTTTTTTTAAATTTACTCCTGCCTGACAAAACTATCTTATTTACTCCTGAGTCAAACAAAGTCATAGCAAATTGTATGTGGAAGACATGCGCAAAGAGTTACACAGAGCCAAAGGATGAAATAAACTTGTAGAATTTTAATTAGGTAGAGAGTACCTTGAAAAACTTTTCCAAAGAAACCTTCTCCCAAATCTTTCACGTACTGTACATGGTCCAAATTGTATTGCCTCAGTTTTTTCGGGTCATAAAGTCCCAACAAGCGCGAGTCCAGGCTCTTCAGGGACTCCGCTCGTAACCTGTCCCTCATGGTGATGGAACCTTTGTGGGATAGCGCATGCCCATTATCCACAGCGTCCCTCAATTTCTGACGTCTTCGAAGAAGAACGACCACGATGACACATAGCAAAATAATGCAAAGGCCAACTATGACAATTGGAAGGATAATTACCAGTTTACTACCAGGTTGTGGGGTTGGTTTCTCAGTGTTTGCACCCATCGTGGTCTCCGTGTAATCTGAGGATAAGAAAAACTCATATTAGGTCGAATTATTGGATCGGTTGAAACGAAAATTGTTTGCAATGAAATAATTGTACTGTAGCAGACTAACATCTGTATCTGTAAATTAATATCATGATGTTCGAGAAGGCGCTTTTCTATCGTACCTATCGTTCCTCCTTTGGGAGGGGGGGGTTAACTTCTATGGTTGAATATTAGTTTAAAAGTACTTGCTCTGAGCAAATCAAAATGACTTACTATAAACATTTTTAAATAACTGCCAGACTCTGCTCTCTCTGCATGGTTAAAATATCACTATATATTACTCCGGAAAAACCACACAAAGCTGAAACATCAATGATGGTATTTCATAAAAGCGAAAAAACTGCAATTTAATTTCTGAAGATGCAGTGCGAGCAGGCCCTCACTTTTAGCGCGACCGCGGGAAAGTATAAGGCCCTGAGGCGAGAGGTCTGCCAGGGGTCTGGCACTGATAATAAGGCTTTTTATTAGTGCCAGGTCCCTAGCTTTCTCAAATCTTTCCACGGGCGGCAGCCCTATTAAGGAGGGCTTGCTCACAGGCTATGGATTCAGCTTAACAAATTGACCACAATTTTTCCTTTGTCTACAACCCTATTGATCATAGAAAAGAATTCAACAATGTTCACAACTAAAGTGAAAAATTTTTGTGCCAGCTGAATACGCCAAAGTTTTCGAAAAATTACGCGCGCGTGACATGATCGATCCTTGCTTCGTTGTTTGTTTTAACTTGAGTTATGTAATAACTTGTACAGTGAAATACCAGTAAGAAATAGATGGCAATAGACTCAGTAGCCCCGAATGGTATTTTTATTGCCCACTTAGTTTAAAAATTTTGCGCCGTTTGCTACGGTATCGGCAAGTATTTCTACGAGGTTGTCCATCTATCAACTTTGCGAACAGAACTCCGAAGATTTTCCCCCGCTTTTTCTTCCCTCTCGACAAGTTCTTCTTCAGACATTTTTCTAAGTATATCGATCTTAAAATCCGGAATATTCTTACCGTCAATATCTCAGAAAATTTCAATTACTTCTACGAGATAAGTGTTTTCTCCGACATGGCGAGGATGCCGAGCGTTGCGTTGCATGCCACGTCATTTTTGTCGCGTATAACCTTATTTACAATAATTCTCGACCAATGAGCTTGCGAGAATTTCTACAGTTATGGAAAATATGTAATAATCACTTGCCATGATTGAACAATATTCTAAATCTTAAGAACCACTTTACTTCTGCTTGACTTTCACGAAATATTTTATTTTGCTCTCTAAAAACACTGTTATCAATCATGGATTATTACGGCAATAAACCGACATAAATTTTTAGTTACGCAGTATAGTGGGCGCTGAAAAAGCCTTAGGGAATTTATGAGGCTGCGAGATTCTGCCAAATTGCCATATATTTCCTTGTGCAACACACGGAGAAGTTGATGTCACAACAAAAGTTTCTTATTACTTAATAAATGTTCACTTACTGAAAAAGCCTGTCTTGATACAGATCTTTCCTGGTTTGTCTTCAAAATGTCCTTCCTTATGGTGCCCGGAACAGTTCGGTAGACTTGTATGTATAAAATCAATCTTTTCCGCTGCCACATGCAACGTCACGGCACCAATCACTTGATTCAGGGGGGCGCTACATTCCTTGAAAATGGCCGCACAGTCCTCCCTACAGTACTCTATGTCTGTGCCATCCGAGTAACATGGAGGCACAGTATAATGACAAAGCATATTTATTAAGATGTATCTGCACTTTTCGTCGTCCTTCACAAGCGTGTTGATTATTTGTAGACCCCTGAAAAGAAATTCTTCGGTGGCTGGCAAGCCGAATTTGTTGTCAAAGAAACGGTCACTGTTGCGGTAAGTTGGGAGGGTCGAGTTGAATGACACTTGGCAAACTTTTCCTCGATAGGGCATGCAGGATCCTCCTCTAAACAAAGAAAAAATAGAAATAGGTTAGTACTGAACTTCCTATATCTTGATCAAACCGCTATTTTTACTTCTTATCAACCGAGTACTGTAAGTAACGGACCGTATTTTGTTTTCGTCTGCTCGAATTTTTGGCCCAGGTTCGAAGCGCGCGGGCCTTAAATCCGAACTGAAAAGAATGGGTCCAAATGGAGGGATAGAATTTCAATTTACACTCAATTTGGAATTCAGCGGGCCGTTCTGTGAAATATGGTCAGCCAATCATTGGGGAAGTACAAAGAGAGATACAAAAACAAGTGTTAATGACCTCGTAGTCAGTTCTTTGCAATATTGCTTTGATCGGCCCGCCAAGGGACAAATAATTGACATACACCACTCACAGCTGTTGGAAACCAACCAATCCCAGCGGAGTATAATACTTTATGAAGTAATGCGTGGAAAGCCAAGGCCATCGGAGTAAGAAGACCATGAATATGCGCTCAAAAGGATTTCATCGCAGCCACTACATCTTGAGAACAACAAAATTCCTTCATGAACATGGAATTTCGTTGTCTAAACAGAGGCCATCAACAGGCCAATGGCAACGTATCCAACCAGCACGCGCAAGACTATTTAGCATATTTTTGGTATACAAGTCGCAGGATTTCCCCTCTAAAATACCACTCGGTGAGTCAAGGAAAGAAATTTTGGCTCAAAAAAGTTGGAAAAATTGGCTAACTCGAAATTCTAAATATGTTATAACACTCACTTCCAGGGAAAAATAAAA